TTTGAGTTTACCAACAAAGATTTTGGATTTGTCTCAGCGCTATAAGTTTAATCTTTTTATCTGCATTGTGCTGCATTTGGACCCCACACTAGCTGTTTATGTGGAAAGCTGTCTTCTAACACTAACATAAGAAGATGAGATAAGATGATGTTGGTTTACTGTTCTGGTTTCAGTTACATTTCGTGGTATCCCCTGGTCATGGTCATTGTGAGAACACAGTGTGGTGTTGCATTGCATTGGAATTACACATGCAGCTGTTTCCTACACTGTGCCAATCATGCCAGATAACAATTACCTTTATTGTTATGGGCAGCATAGAGTGCCTCCCATTGTCAGTAAATACCATTCTGCAAATTGGGTACTGGAGAGTGCTATTTCCAGACAGATATATGGCTTTGATCATAGATACTTTCTGGTTTATAGGTCAGTCTTTTAAAATGTAACATGTCCAAATGTATATATCAGTCACCCTGTATCTTTTAATTTCTTGGCATTTGAATTTCTGGGTCCATGTAGCCCCCAAAATACCTTGGAATAGATGCAGAGACCACATTCACATACATTTATTGTATGCCTTTGTCCACATTTCATTCTGCTTTCCTAATATCTCCCATTGTAGTCACACACAGAAGCACTGCGCTCAGAAACCAGTGTACTTTTTCTTTCACTACTCCCTTTACAGCTCCACCCCTCTTTCCTAATGCCCTGCCTACATCCCTGCCCATCTCTCTACTCTGCCAGCCACTCCTACATCCTGGTGCCCTGCTGCATGTGGCATGCGTAGCAAGGCATTGTGGGAGATTACCTGAATTGAGATGACCCAGAAGCACACAAAAAAAGCAGAAGCTACTATTCAGAGTCGGGGATATGCAGATTGTTTAAAAGTAAGGAAATGTAAGAAAAGAGCATAAAACCAAAGCCGTTCTATTTTCATAGTGCTTGCTTTGAAAACCTAATGTGATGCTGGTGCCTTTTAAATTTCCTTTAAACCTCAAAAGTTTAATATCAACTACAGCAGCTGACCTCAGTACTTGTCTTATGTGCTGATTCTTCTTCTTTGAAAACTTGCCTTTCTCCTTACTTGAGCCAGTCCAAAGATCAGTGCTTCAGGTTACCTCTTATAAAGTAGCTTCGTTGCCTTGCAGGGTGCTACAGAGCCAACCATTTAGGTGCACTCGAAAGAGACTTTGAGATGATGTTGTGATGCTGCCTCTGCCGACATAAGCAGACAGCCATGGAGAACAGGGCATGTGTGCACAGAGGCTTCTGTTGAATTATGGGACATAGTTCTGAGGAGGGTGATTAGAGTAGAAGTGGATAATTGAATATAGAATTCAAGAACCAGTCTGTCCAATCCAGGAGCCAACTCCATTAACAACTAGAGAAAATCTCAAAAGTTATGCACCAGCTGTCATTTTTTAGTGCTTGCTTACACCAGTTCCAGTGCGTTCCAGAGCGGTTGGCTGCTGGAACGCGCTGTATCACATCCTGGCCGGCTCCCTGTGTCCTGGGGTGGGAAGGGGCATGGTGGTGCATTCGAGTCAGCCATGGCCCCCGTCCGCAGTGCCCGTTCCGGTCCAGCGTGATCAAAAAAAATGCTGCAAGCCCCAGTTACAGTGGAACGCACTGTAACTGGTGTGAACAAGTCCTCCAGAGCGTTCGTCTTCTGAAACGCAAGCCGGCTGGCTCCCTGCATTCAGGGGAGGGAGTAGGCATGGTGGTGCATTGAAGTCAATAGCCCCGCAGCCATGCCCCCCCCCACCCAGAACACAGGCACATTAGTGCTTGCGTTCCAGTCCAGTGCGTTCTGCAAAAATACTGGACCGGTTCGCAACTGCCACTTTGGCTCGTCAGTCACCTGCATGAGACTGAGGGAAAATATATAAATAAAAGTCTGCAAAATATGTTAGTATTTAGATCAGAATTTTTTCAGTCATGACACCCTTTAAAAGTATGCAGGATGTTGAGGCACTCCAATCTAAATCGTAAAAAACGAAGTGTTTGTGTCCCCTAAAATTGATACCAGACCCTTAACCTAGATAGGAGTCTGGTATGGATTCTAAGGGGGGGGGGGGGACCCCATACAAAAATACAGTCGTCCCCACACCTGCTTTCCAATCAGAGTCCCCCCAGTACCCGCTTTCCCATAAGGGCTTGTTCACACCAAATGCAGACCAGATGAATTTCTGCACACGCAGTGCAGTGGGTTGTGCCGCGTTTTTGATGCATTCCGGGCCGTTTTTGTTTTAGTTTAGAATGGGCTTTCAGTGCGTTCCGGGGTGTTTGCATGCGTTTTTGATGCGTTTGAATGCGTTCCATAGCAGGTAAAATAGGGCCTGCTGCAGTTTTTTTACATGCTCTGGAACTGAACTCTACGGTGTGAACTAGAGCCCAAATGCCATTGGAATACATTGGACGCAGTTTTGATCCGGTCTGTAACTTTTCTGCTCCTGGAACGCGCTTGGTGTGAACAAGGCCTTAGAGTCGTCCCCCCTCCCCTGCTTCCACTGTCCCATCTAGGTTCCCGCTCCCAATTTTCCCATCAGAGCCCCCATCCCTCTTTTTCACATCAGAAGCTCCCAGACTCTTCTCAGAATGTCCTCCTATGCACCTAGCTAACCCATAACCCTTGTCAAAAGGCTTTATGATTCCCCCCACTAACCCAATGTGGTGGTCTTTCTTGTGAATACAGATAGACCCTATAGAGGTTTGGAATAGCTGAGTGTGGTCAGACAGTCCTAGGAGCAGTGTGGTTCGGTGCTTCCTGCTTTGACAGGGGACCTTTTTTATTCCAGGTACTGCCAGATATCTTCTATTATCTGCTGTTAGGGCACAACAAGACTTCTTTATTATTCTGATTCACAGATCATTGTACTGCATAACTTCAGTCAATGTAAACAGACTGTTGTTTAGTGGCAGTACAAGTTTTTCGTGTAGCGTTGGGCTGTGTAAATGGAGATTCAGGTGTCTTTGTCTTGTAAAGGAGGAGGGTGTTGGGAGGAGCAGGGACAGGGATTGGTATGGAAGGGACTCTGAGTAATTACAGTTCGCTTCCTGGTTGTCGGCAACACTTTCTGTCCACAGTTTGCTTCCTGCTTCCAAGCTGGCTTTAGAGTGACCGTATCAGTTCTAACTTTTGCAGACTTTATAGGTTTGATCTTCGGTCGGTCTGTTTTTTTTTCTGTTTTTGATGTCAGAGAATCAGGATTTGTGCTATGGATGTCTACATGTCTGAATTCTGAACTGTTGGCACTTGGAAGCTTACAGCATGACGCTCACAATTGTTTGAGGTAGGAGATTCAGTATTTGGAACCTAATGTTGCGATTTCTATATAAATCTATTTTGTGCTTATTTATAAAACTAATAGTATACTTGAATTGATGGAATGTGCCCTATCTATACAAGCAGGCCTGGCATTGTACATTTTAACCTCTGACCTTGTGGAGGTCTTGTGAATGGTTTTGTTCATTAGGCCCCTTATTAAAGAGGAACTTCACTCCTCACCATGTATTTTCTATTGTTAACTCCCCTCTTTTTAAAGCCTGTCTCTGTTTTTTTTTTTTTTTAAACTACCCTTGCATTGGGCTTACCCACACACTGCAAGGGTTCATTGCTTGTTTGTGCCTAGGGTATGGTGAAGAGGACTTTTATTTACCTGATCCCCGCTCCTGCAGCATTCGGCACTCACTTCATCCCTCCTGCATTCCAGCTGTGAGCTGTCCCTTGGCATCCTCTTATATAATTCTATGGACCCTTCATTAGACTTGATGGCAACAGCGGGTCTCCAATCGCCAAAGCAGAGGAAGGAAGAGGCTGCAAAAGCCAGTCTTGGAGCCTGCAGGAGTGGCAAACATGTTTGCTAACGGTGCCTTCCAAAGGTCCCTATAGAAAAAATAATCATTTAACCCTTGGGGTATGGGGCAGCCCCACTGCTAAGGTATTTTTTTTAACTGGTGATAGGCTTTTAGCTGGCTTATTTTCAAAAATACACTCACATGCCAAGGTGAATCCAGCATTGGTCTGCTGTGATCTGCTGATTCATGCTGCACACCCGGTCTTGCACCACCGTTCTCATTTCTGAAGTCACTGGAAGCCAACTGTCTCTTCCTGGTTCAGGCGCCCCCTAATGATGCACCACGAGGTCCACCCTCCTCCGGCTACTGTATTAAAACTGATACCTACCCGTTTCATGCATATCCCAGGAGCCTTCAGAGGTGGAGGACATGCCATTTGCCATTGGGGACTGGTTTGGTAAGGTGACATTTTGGTGGGTTTGGTGAGATTGAGGCAATATCAATCTTGCTTTTCAGTACCTTGTTAAAGTTCAACTCCAGCCCAAACTTTTTTTTTTGTAAGACAATAGAGGTTTAATTTTTGCTGCCTGTGCCTCTGTTGCAGACTATTATCTTTTGAGTGGTCGCTGGCAACAGTGATTGAAGTAATCTGTGGAAAAGAGCATTTGGTCAAAGTTGTGTACCTGCCTGTCACTTTACAATGGAGGATGCGCCTGTGGCTTCTCTGTGCTGCTACTCTGCCTATATCCTGCCTATATGTAGTTTGCAGTATTACAGATGGTGACAGGGTCTCTTTTTATATAGGCCTGGAGATCCTATATGAAAATATCATTGATAAGTGAGCCAGAATACAACAAATTCTGTTTTGGTAAATGACGGCTACAAATCAAACGGCTACAATGTGTAATGTAGCTAATTGGGCACCCCGGGAAGGAAAGATAAATGATCACCTAATCAAATGTTGGATCGAGTAAATGAGTATTTAATCTGTAGCTTGCATTTGTAATGCATATTTTATATAATATATATGTGTGTGTGTTATTTTATATGTATATGGGTGTATTTTTACACGCACAAATTGAAGAGGGATACATAAACATGTGTTTTATGTCCATTTATATACAGTATTTCAGTTTTTAACTACTTTTGCCAATGTTTTATAAACATTTCATTCGATGTGAAGTAATTTTCAGTATCTCTTTCAGGCAAAAAATATGGAATGTAAAACTTATCATGTCGCCCCCGAGCCACCGCTTCCGCGACATTGAGAGGACAGCAGAGTACCTCCAGCCAGAGAAGTGCATCCCGCCACCCGTGGATGACTCCATGGATAAATTGTGGTTTATCAAGGATGGCTGCGGCATTGCATGTGCCGTGGTGACCTGGTTCCTGGTTTTGTATGCCGAGTTTGTTGTCATTTTTGTTATGCTGCTACCATCCAAGGACATAATTTATAGCATAATTAATGGGATCATCTTTAACATTTTGGCGTTCATGGCATTGGCATCGCATATGCGCGCTATGATTACCGATCCTGTAAGTATGAATATTCTAGAATTATTCTTTCACATTTATTGTGCACAGTATGATGTCACCTATGATTCAATTTTAATGTTTGTATCAGTCCTAAGCATCATCTATACCTGTCCTGTAAATGCACCTTTGCCAATGTCTTCTAAAGAAGCTATAATGCTAAACAAATGACTTCAGTACTTTCTGAATCGCCGACCTGGAACTAGAATTGGAACAGTAAAATAGGTATAATGAATGGGTCATTTCTCTGTCAATTCAATTGATCATTTCTGTGGATGTTGTATACCAAGCCTGGACAAATCTCACCCAGAACTAGGAGCTAGCTTTAAAAACCTAGGACCCAGAACTAAGCAACCTGCATGTGACTATATAGGTAGCTAAAGATGCAGTTAAAAGGAAAACAGTTCTTTTTTTTTTTTTTTTTTAAACAAATAAACAATAAAATGCAGAACAGTCTATTACTTTACAAGCTGCGCAACTTTACTCCATATATTATTATTATTACATAGTATTTCTATAGCACCAACAGTTTGCGCAGCGCTTTACAATATAAGGAAGACATTACAATCACTACAATTTAAGACAAGATGGTAAGGAGGCCCCTGCCCCTGAGGGCTTACAATCTAAAAGAGGAGGGGCAAGTGATAGATGAGGAGGTAGCTGTGTGGGAATGAATTGTTTGAGAACGTGATGGTTCAGTGGTTAGGTTGAGGTGGGATAGGCTTCCCGAAAGAGATGAGTCTTTAGGGAACGCCTAAAGGCAGTCAAGGTGGGAGATAGACGGACAGGTTGGGGTAAAGAGTTCCAGAGGATGGGAGAGACTCTAGATAAGTCCTGGAGGCGAGTATGGGAGGAGTTGACTAGGGAGCTGGAAAGCAGGAGGTATTGGGAAGAGCGGAGTGGACGGTTAGGGTGATATTTTGAGATATATGCGGGGGCAGAGTTGTGGATGGCTTTATAAGTGACTGTTAATATTTTGAATGTTATCCTCTGGGCGAGTGGAAGCCAGTGTAGGGATTGGCAGAGGGGGGATGCAGACACTGAGCGGTTGGTTAGGTGAATGAGTCAATAAATAGAATGTGCCAATTGTCCCCATGCCTTCCTGCATAGTGGTATAGGCCCATGTTTCACACAACACAAACAAGTTATGGTCCTGGATTTGACAAATGTCGGCTTGAGAAGAGGGAGGGAGCATGGGGTTTCCCTCAACATGCTAATATAGCTGTTGACGGTGGGCAGGGGTGCGCAAGGGGCATTGCTAGGATTATGAAAGACCTGGGACACCCCTGGGCACTGCTGGAGGAACAGTGATGGGGAGCACGGAGCACATTGTGGTGAACAGTCAGTGTAGCCAGATTGCGCTGACGGTGGAAGGGTTTTAAAGAAGCATAGTTAGTGGCACTAAACTCGCAAGTTAAATCTAAAACATGCATTCAAATACCCTAATAACAGAAATGTATCTTATTTGTGTATCAATCCCAGCTGTAGATCCTCAAATCATCTGTATGAATGCTGACACCAGCACCAATTTTTTGTTTTTGCCCCCATGGTCCCTGTGTGTGTTGTAAAGTAGCCACCACTCCAAGCTCACTCCTGTGATTGACTTCAAATTCATGTTTAGTTTACTAATTTGTATTGAGATTGTAGTCCATCATGGGACGAGTGGTGGAGTGTAGTGGTGGCTACTTTACAACACACACAGGAACCATGGAGAACAAAAGTAGCTATCCTCCTGAAGGAAGGATAGGACCAGCAGGAATTCAGAGATGATTTGGGGATCTACAGCCGAGTGATACACAAATAAGATACATTTTTGTTGATAATCAGGGTACTTGTATGTATTTTTAAGATTTAACTCCTGAGTTTAGTGTCACTTTGAATAGAACCTGAGCCTTCTTAATGTATACATAGTGCACATATGCACAGTCCTGGTACCCTAGGCTCCGGCTACTAATGTGTTTTACAGGATCCCTGTGACCAAACCAGGTGAAATATAGGTATACTTACACTGGGCAAAGCTAGACCAATGTAAGCATATGCATAAATATTTATACCTGGAGTTCAACTTTAAGTGCAAAAGTGTTAAATGACACTTTGTCTAGCATTCTGATATGAAAGAGGAACTACTGAGGTAAAAGGAGGCTACTCATGCAAAAGGTGACTCTGATTTGAAGGGGGGGAATCCTAATTTGAAGGGGGCACTTCGACGTGGCCCTTAAAATCTATGCCTTGAGATTTTGCATACTTTTAAAGGGTGCCGTGACTAAAAATGGTTTGAGAAACACTGATGTGTGCAGTCAATACCGTTGTCTGAAACATAAGTTATGTGAATTCATGAGCTGTATGCTGCAAAGACATATTTACTGTCAGAGCATATTTGCCACTCCAAGCTTCACTTATCAGGATGTATGTTTACTCAAGAAGGTGTGTAGGTAATTCCATGTCATGGAAAAACGTTGCTAATACAGAACCCTGTTGTAACATTTTGTATCATCTTTATGAACACTGGCAAAGTAGCTTTTTCCTGACTTGAGTACCTGGGGCAGTGAATCTAAATCTATTCCTTCCCTTCAGACTGATCGAAGCGCTGAAAAACGCTCAAGAAGGGAAATCCTATTAATCCCTATGAGCATGGTTCCCACCGGGGCGTATTCGCGCTGAAAAACGCCCTACGCGCGAAAAAGTACTTGACTGTCTTTTTCGTGCGTATGGGCAGATTTCAGCGCATATCCATTGGTATTCCCGAGTGTGGCTCGGGTTTAATTTCCTGTACCAAGCGGTACCCCCGAGCCACACTCGGGAATACAGCGTAGGTCTTACCTTGTCCGCGATCCCCGCTGTGTCCTCCGGGCCGCTGCCGGCATCCGTCTTCCGGGTTCCGCCCCTTGCGAGCGTCCGCGTCGCAGGGGGGTGGAACTGGCGGGAAGTTTGAAAGTAAAAACAAAAACAGAGGAAAAAAATTAAATCATACCGACAGGGAGGTTAAAAAACGCGCGTCGAACGGGCGTTTTAATTGGACAGAAAAACGTGCTTCAAACACAAGTGCTAAAATGCGCTTTATTAGGAACGCTCAGGTGTGAACCCAGCCTTAAAGGAGAACTATGGGGTCAGTGCTTTTCCCCATAGTTCTCCTAAGGGTAACGGGAGGACACAAACTAGCGTTCTCCCCTGACCCAAAGCTCAGTATTCCGCGAGCTACAGCTTGCGGTATACTGAGACGCCGGAACGGATCCCGACAATGCTGTCTAAATCCACCCAGCTGCGTGAGTGACAGCTGGCTCTGCCTATCTAGAGGCAGAGCCAGCTGTACCCGCCCCCTCCCCCGTCAGGGACAGTCACCGCTCTCTGCATGGATAGATCGAGAAGTGAGCGAGCGACGGTATGTGTTCGCTCACTTCCCGATCTACTGAGCCGACATGTGACAGATTCATTGTCACACGTCGGCTCATGATTATGAGTGAAAATCACTTGCCTCATAATTCTCCTTTTAACCCCTTCATGACTGAGCTTGTTTTCAATTTCTGTTCGTAAATGACTGACACACTTTTGACATTTTTGCTGTGTGATTCTTCCACGTCAGTAATGTACTTTCTTACTAAGTGCACCCACACATATTATATATTGTTTTTTAGAGGACAGATAGGGCTATATAATTATATCACATATGTGTGTCTAACGCCTCACTTAGGACAAATAAAATATAAAAAAAGGGGGGAAAAACTTTAAAAAAAAACCCTTTTCCCAGTTTTTATTTTTTTAGTATTTTTTTTACAAAACCAGCACAGCTAAAAAAAAATGCAATAAATACATTCATTTATTTGTCCCTTATTTTATTTTCTTTTACACTTTTCACTTTTTTTAAAACTTAAACATTTTATTTTATTTATTTAATTATATCAAGCAGTCATTGTGAATTAATCTCACTATTACTGCTTGATAAATTAATACATTTTTGGTTATTATCAGGCTGCTTCAAACTTCAGAACAGCCGATAATAAGTTAGTGGCACTGATCCTGCAGCAGTTCAGGATTCAGCTGTCACTAGTTTTCTGATTGTTCCAACAACCATCAGAAAACTGAAACATTCTTCTTTCAGGAATAGATACATAATGTATCCCTGAAAGTGAAAGGAAAAAAAAAGCCAGTATAGCTTGAGAGAGATATCTCTCGATCTATAGAGCTGTCAGGATGCCGGCAAAGCCGGCAAACATGCCGGCTCTGCTTTGACTCTCAGACACCCGATCTTCAGGTATTGGGTGTCTGAAAAAGGTTAACCCTTTCATTAATGGATGCCTCTAAACTGAGGCATCCATTAATGAATGATAACCGCTGATTCTCAGCGGTTACCAGCCTTCTAGTGCAGCAAATAACTCGTCACGTACAGTGTACGTGACAAGTCATTTGGTCCTTTTGTGGCGGGACGTACAGTGTACGTCTCCCGTCACGAAGGGGTTAAAGTGGACCTTTACAATCAAAACTCAAATCCCACCAATGCATTCCCTTATCTATACTGATTAATAATAACATAGACATGTCAGGTGTAAAATGCTGTTACATAGAAATACTTACACTTGCAGAGCATTCACTTCCTGCTTTCCAGGTGCAAAGTAGTTCAGTGTGCCAACGCAATGTATCCTGAGATCTCGTTCAAGAAAAAGGAAAAAAAAAAGAAAATGGCTGTGAGATTTCGCAGCCATTTTTAATTTTTTTTTGCCTTTTCCTTGACACGTGATTATTTGTAGCTAAACAATGAAGCTGCGCGGGATTCACCTGGATGACAAAAGAAGAGGATACGGAAGGAACAGCTTTTCCCACAGCCAACAATGGCGCCTGCTGCATTGCGGCGCCAGATTTTAAGATAAAACAAGGTATTTAAAAATGAAGAAACACTTTTTTAATAAGTCTCATGTGTTTATGGTTTATTAATGGTTATGAGAATGTTTGTTTGTTTTTTACAAATGAATTACTGCAGTGTAAAGGTCCGCTTTAAGCTGGTTTGTAGCAGATACATTGGGATTGCAATGTCCATCCGGCATTATTCATGCGTTTTTTTTCTTTGTACTAGTGCAAAACTAATATTTCAGGTTTTGTTAGACACTATCAAGGGTTGCACCACATAATGTTTCTGTACAGCAGAATATTATTACCTGTCCCAGGGGCGGACTGACCATTCGGTCCGTCGGGCATTGCCCGAGGGCCCGCGGCCTTCAGGGGGCCCGTCACGGGCGGCGCATAAGGTGGGGTCGCTGCCGGCAGATCCAGCCACCACATACAGTATCTCCTCTCTCAGCCGATCTGCAGCTGCAGGCGGCTGTCTGATGGGTCCTCACGGCCGAGGTCAAGGGGGCCCCATAACCATGTATTACCCGGGGGCCCCATGTGTTGTCAGTCCACCCCTGACCTCTCCGGGAAGTACTCACTTTTGTTGCCAGTGGTTTAGACATTAAAGGAGAACTATGGGGTCAGGGCTTTCAAATTATCTATATTTGCTATTTTGTTAAAGGAGAACTATGGGGTTCTATCTTTTTTTTATGAATGCATTCCTTAGGCTAAATAAGTAAATAATGTAATTTACTGTAATTAGCCAAAATGCACAGTAAGGCTGTAAAACCTTATTTTAGGTGGTGGGCGGGGCTAAGCGCCGCAATGAGAAGACATCCCGACGTATCTGACGGGATCCTCCCCACTGATGATTGACAGTGATTCTTGAGAGCTGCTGCGCATCCACGAATATATGGACATTGGCAGCAGCTCTCTCCTTACCTGCACGTTCCCGTGTGCCAGCTCCTTCCCCCCTCTCTCTCTCTCTCCCTGCTGACACACACTGACATACTAAAACGATCGTGGATCGCTGATGACAGAGGGGAAGGAGCTCTCTCTCTCTCTCTCTTCAGCATTTACTACAAATCGGAAAGTCCATATATGGTAAATTATGTCACTGGAGATCCCTGCTGATCGGATCCGATATATGATGTCACTGGAGATCCCTGCTGATCGGATCCGATATATGATGTCACTGGAGATCCCTGCTGATCGGATCCGATCAACGGATCAGATCAGCAGGGATCTCCAGTGACATCATTTACCATATATGGACTTTCCGCGAGCTACAGCTGAGACGGGGTATACTGAGACGCCGCAGCCTGAATGGATCCCGACATTGATGTCCAGATCCACCCAGCTGCGGGATTGACAGCTGGCTTTGCCTATCAAGAGGCAGAGCCAGCTGTGCCCGCTCCCTCCCCCGTTCGTTCCTCTAGTCAGCGCTGGAGGATCGGACAAGGGAGGGGGGTAATCCCTGCACGGAGCAGTGAGCGACAGTCACGGCTCTCTGCACAGATAGATCGAGAAGTGAGCGAGCTCCGGTATGTGTTCGCTCACTTCCCGATCTACTGAGCCGACCTGTGACAGTTTCATTGTCACAGGTCGGCTCAGATTATGAGGTTGAGTGAAAACCACTCGCCTTATAATTCTCCTTTTTTAATGGCTGTGTGTTGAGTTATTTTGAGGGGACAGCAAATGTACACTGATATACAAGCTGTACACTCACTACTTTACATTGTAACAAAGTGTCACTTCTTCTGTGTCGTCACATGAAATGATATAATAAATTATTTACAATAGATCTATCTATATATAATGTGTGTGTATATATTTCCCTTTTCCTTGCCAGTCCCATTTATGTTATACCAGAAGTCAAGTGTTTGCCTAAGGAACACTGAGTGCTGTCATTTGACAAAGAAAATTGTGGTGATGACAGACGTGGCCTTAGGTTTCTTTTACTTTGTAACTAAGACAAGTTCCCAGCTGTAAATATTGGGCAAGTGCCTCAAGAAGGGCCCATAGAAACAGCATTGACCCTATTGTTCTGGTGGTGTCAGTCCATATACAGGTGGTGTATAGACCAGGCAAACATGAACTCCACAGCCCCCTCCTTAACATTACATAGTGGGAAACTAGGTAGGATTGTAACTGCTTCCCGTCTAACAGCCATTAAAAAGGAGAAGAAAAATGAGACTGTCACAGGTCGGCTCAGTAGATCGGGAGGTGAGCGTTTAATGGCTGTTAGACGGGAAGCAGTTAAAATCCTACCTAGTTTCCCACTATGTAATGTTAAGGAGGGGGCTGTGGAGTTCATGTTTGCCTGGTCTATACTGTTTTGGCGGATCTCATTATCCATTGTAAATTAGATTTCAACACCAATTGTTTAAAGATCTTGGATTCTGCAGTATATGCTAATAGGGAAAACGTACCTTGTTCCCCTGAAATGATTTAGAACAGCTTGCAGTCCTATGTATAATCCTTCTCCAAACTAACAAATGTAAGAAATATTAAATAACAAATATTGTTAGATGTGCTGTGTGAATGGGGGTTTCTCAAATTTGACTGCAAAAGTGAAAATACACTTTAAACCATCTTTAAAGAAGAACTCAGAGAAAAAAATGTTCTCAACCCTTGCAGTGGGGGAACCTCCGCACTGCAAGAGTCAAGTGCTTGTTTTGATCCCTACTGGCTGACAAGTAGGGTATACATCGGTAGATTTTCAAACGCACATTTGGAAGAAAAATCTTGTCAGAACGTTCGATAATATCATCAGAGACTTGACGTTCGAAATTTTGTTTGATTTTAGTTTCCATGTAACATTTGGTTTTGGAATAAATTGAGTTTTCTGAATGAAAACCACATTCACTGTTAGAATTTTGTTCGATCGAGAACATTTTTCCAACATGCTCTTTCGAATGTCATCACTGCATTCCAAATCCATTTCACCGCATCAACCATTAGAAAGTCGAAGAAACATTCCAAAATTGATTGATGTTTATTTTGAAATTCCATCCGTGTGTACCCTACTTTAACTGGTCCTTCGAGCCTTGCTCCCCCCTCTGCTACGGCGGTCTAAGGATCCTTGAGTCGTCACATCCAATACATTGTGTATAGGATGTGAGGACAACGAGGGATAGACCATCGCTGGAGGGGGCTCTCGAACAGCCAGCTGGCTCCGAGGATCAAGTGAGTATAATTTTTGTTATTTTTTCACCTAGACCAAAATGAGCACTTAACCCTTGCAGTACGGAGGTAGCCCCACAGCAAAGGGTTAAGAAAGGTTTTGCCCGAAGGTTTTTTTTTTTAACATAAATTAGTCTGCTCTGTAAATAATCACAGGGCTAAAAATACTGGATTTATTCAAACTGGACAACCACAATGAAAGAAAATTGAGGAATTCTTTCGTTTTTTTAAATTTAATAATTGGTTGCGGCTCAATTTTAGTTTTTTTTTGTTGTTTTTTCTTTAATCGTATTTTATTGAATTGCACCTATTTTTATCAAAGAGACATATGCTGCGTTACTCTGTTAGGACTTTTCCCCATAGTTCTCCTAAGGGTAACGGGAGGACACAAACTAGCGTCCTCCCGTCACCCTAAGCTCAGTATACTGAGATGCCGCAGCCGGGACGGATCTCGACCTTACTGTCTGTATCCACTCAGCTGTGTGATTGACAGCGGGCTCTGCCTATCTAGAGGCAGAGCCAGCTGTACCCGCCCCCTCCCCAGTCCGTTCCGCCAGTCAGCGCTGGAGGATCGGACAGGGGAGGGGGGGAATCCCTGCAGGGAGTCGTGAGTGACGGTCACGGCTCTCTGCGGTGATGGATCGGGAAGTAAGCGAGTGACGCTATGTGCTTGCTCACTTCCCGATCTATTAAGCTGTTCTGTGACAGTTTCATTGTCACAGGTCGGCTAGAACTATGAGGCTGAGTGATTTTCACTCGCCTCATAATTCTCCTTTTTTAAAGTATCTGCTGAATTTTAGAATGGTCTGACTGTCTTCACCAAGTTCTTGACTCATTTTTCTACCTCATATGTATGCTTATAAAGTATGTAATGAATGCATTTGTTTTTAGGGGTCCGTTCCCAAAGGAAATGCCACCAAGGAATTCATTGAGAGTTTGCAGCTGAAGCCAGGGCAGGTGGTTTACAAGTGTCCGAAATGTTGTAGCATCAAGCCGGACAGGGCTCACCACTGCAGGTACCGTCTTAACTTACTATCATTAATACTAAAGGGAGGAAATCATAATGCAATACATCCTAGATTATAAGGGATTAGGAGATCAAAGCTTTCACTCTAATTCTTAAGAAGATTTAAAGAAAACCACTATTAGAGTAGATGGTTTTGCTGGACAAAATCTATTTAGTGTTTGTATTTCTGACTGGGACACGCCTTAAAGGTGATCAGGAAATTGCATCTGTTAAACAATTAAAGTGACACTAAACTCAGGAGTTAAATCTTAAAAATGCTTTCAAGTACCCTAATTATTAACAAAAATATATCTTATTTGTGCAAGTTGCTAAATTCTTGTAATAGGCCCATTCACTCCTAGATTGCAATCACTAGCTTTTTAATTTTACATGAATGTGTGTCCCTTAGACATAGCAGGTAGTTAGAGGAAGAATTGTCTGGTGCTCTGCAACTCTCCATCATGCTACTGCCTAAAAAACTTTATTGGTGTCGCCTTTTCACCTTTTTGTGCACTGCATAATATGAGAGTTTTACTTTGGGCTACCAGTCATGCCTTGTCATGTGACGAAATAGCCAGATGTCTCCATAATACAGTACAGTATGTTTTTGCCTTGTGACAGTAACTGTCATTCACTTAACAACCCTTCCCAGCTGTGAACTTTGGTGGAGCGCAGTAAACATTGTAACGTGTAGTTCCAGGACCCGTGGCTACATCATATAGCTGAGATATAGTCAGCCATGTCAACTCTGTCCTGGATTACTGTCATTCAAATCCTAAGGTGGCTGCTATAGATAAGTAAATAATGACTGCGTGGGTTTCGTCTGGGTACTCCGGTTTCCTCCCACACTCCAAAGATATGTTGGAAGGTTATTTGGCTCCTGTCTAAATTGGACCTCTATGTATGCATGTGAGATAGGGAACTTGGTTTGTAAGCTCCTTGAGGGCAGGGACTGATGTGAATGTGCAACTATGTAGAGCGCTGTGTAAATTGTCGGCGCTATATAAATACCTGTAATAATAATAATAGAACAAGAGGCTTATTATATAAGCGTTTAGAAAAGGTTAAACTTCAACTTTAAAAGGTAACAGCCTATTTTTTCTAAATATAATTAGTTGGGATGCACCGATACTGAATTTTTGGGTAAATACTGGTACTCGGCCAAATGCTACAATACTTGCATCCAATACTGGAACTTCCAGTCAGACGGAGATCTCCCTCTGACGGGCAGTGCCGAGGGAGCATGGAGCCGGCTTTCTTTCCTATCATGAAGCCGGGAGGTCACTTGTTGCTAGGCAGCCTGGCTTCCTAACCAATCAGGAAGCCGGGCAGCACGTCATGACACGCGCCCCGGTTTCCTGATTGGTCTGGAAGCCACACTGCACAGCAACAAGTGGAGCCAGCTTCCTAGCCAAGGAGGCGGGTTATGACGTGTCCCCCGGCTTCCTGATTGGCTAGGAAGCCAGCTTCACTTGTTGCTAGGCTGCCTGGCTTCCAGACAAGAAGTCGGACCACACCTCATGACTCGCCGCCCAGCTTTTCCTGATTGATCAGGAAGCCAGGCAGCCTCAGCAAGTGTTCTTTCGCTAGAACACTGGCTCCACAGGCAATCAGGAAGCCGGGCAATGGGTCATGATCTGCCACCCGACTTCCTGATAAGGGGGCACACAAGACCGGTATCGGCGAGTACTGAAAAAAAAATATCAGTACTCGTACTCGATACCGAAGTACCGGAAATGGTACATCCCTGTTTTTACATAAAGATTAAATAGCTGGCAGATAGTCCTTGAAGTAGAACGTGCATAAAATGCAAGGTCCCACAATTTAGTAGCACCCCCGCTTTGTATGTAAAAACACACACATTACCGGTAAAAAAGACCTTGGCTTTGAGCTTCCTAGCCTAGATGCCGATGATGTCACATTGACTTCTCTGGAATCGTGGGATTTTGTGCTTTTCTTTTCTTTTGACAGCAGAACCTTTCATTTAATAGAAAACTCTCTTCAAAGAGCAAAGTCTTCTTTCTATTCAGTTCCCACTCAGTATATTTTTCTTATTAGATGTAGATTAGTTACTTATGGCCTTGATTGAGGGTGAGTCACCATGCATTTCAATAGCAGTAGTAAAGGATTTAGGGATTAGGGTTTAGCCAATATACATAAATGCCTGGAAAATTATTCACTGATGAGTATGTATCAGTCTAACCTGCCTTGTGTAGTTAAGTGATTTAAAATGTTCTGTTATCAATCCCAAGGATTTGAGGAAGTGTAACTTATGCTAGTAAGCTGCTATGCACGGGGCAACTGATCTCATGAAGGTTACAGAATGAAGTGTCTGCAGGAAGTAACATAACAATGATTTACAGGAACTTTTGGCAATCAAACAACGGATTTGATCATATTGCATAACTAAATGTTGTTGCTGTGGCTTATTCAGTTTAATTTTATTACTTGCCTCTCAGTCGGACCACATTTCTTGCAATTGGTAGTGTTAAAGGACACCAAATATGCAATATAAACATTACATGATGTAAAGGTGCAGAAGATCTTATTTACAACTATGTATGTAACCCTCACATGTGTCACTAGCTAACGTTAGTCAAATGTTGAAACACAGCCGATTTGTAAGCTGCCATGTTAGAGGCAGCAAAATGACAGTAGGTTTCTCCTGTGGAATTTTTGAACAATCCGCTGTGTGTTTCACAGCTATGCTTCTGGTTTCAGGTCCACAGAGCAGCCATCATCCTAGCCTTGTTCCTTAAAGCAGAACTCTGGGGAAAATTATTATTAACCTTGCAGTGGGTCTACCCATACAATGCACGGGTTAAGTGGTTGGTTTGGTCTAGGGAGGAAAATGTCAAAGATGTACTCACCCGATTCTTGGAGCCAGCCGGATGTGACGGCGCTCCCTCTATCCTGTGTTCTATGCTGCAGCAATGGTATGTCCCTTGCATTCTCATGTCCTATACACAGTGTATTGGATGTTATTATTTATGGAGCCTTAGACTCCTGCAGCAGAGGGGGAGAGAGGCTACAGGGACCGGGTCTAAGAGCAAGTCGGCTCGGAGGATGAGGTGAGTGGAACTTTTTTTCTTTTTCATTTTCCTCCTTAAACCAAAACTAGCAGTTAACCCTTGCAGAGCAAGGGTTAATAATTTTCCCAGCGGGTTTTTAAAAAATATATATAAATATATGTAAAAGCTCAGTTACAGAAAAACACAAAGTCAGGGGGACTGCAATCTTCATCCTGGAGACCGCTGCTTGTTATAGGTGCTTGTATTAGGTGTACCATCTTGTGGAGATCACAATGAAGGTAGAGCAATGTGCTCCATCCCCATTGTGATACCGGCATCATTCTGCACATGCACGCCGTGCTCTCCTGTGAGCTCACTTGATGTCCGGCCAGTTCACCTTCTCTCCAGGCAGTTAAACTCCCCTCCCATTCTCTCTTCTGCTGCAGTTGAGTTTGCCTTTTGCCCATGACTACCTACCTGCCATTATATCCTCCACACTCTTCTCCTGCACAATATGGGGAATTGATCAAAACTGGAGCAGCGAAAATCTGGTTGCCTGGGCAACAGCTCCAATCAGCTTCTCTCTTCAGTTTGTTCAGTTAAGATTTGAAAATGAAAGAGAGAAGCTGATTTATTGTTATGCACCTGTGCTTGAGATTTTGTCTGCTCCAGTTTTGATAAATACTCCTCATAATGCTTTCCATCATAAATGCATTACTCCTTTTTTGGCAGAAGAAACATACAAAGTCTCTTCTACCAAAAACTGCACCTGCTAGCTATTTCTTGAAGTTTAGTTCTGCTTTTACTTTGTTCTGTTCCAAAACTTGAACTTAAAATGTAGCCCTGACCAGGCTATTGGCATTCAAATAGTTACATATTCTTTACAAGCAGTAAATGAGCTTTCAAACAAGTCCTGAAGGACCCTCGTAGCTGCAGGGACTCCTTTACTATTAGCGCAGTGCTTCATCTTCAAATTCGATCGAAGAATTAAAATCCTGGTCTAAGCCAGCTGCATAACCCCAGCCTCCTTCCTTCCCCAGCAGTGACTTGACAGCCTTCCAGTCTTTGAACCTCTGAAGCCTGTGACACACTGCATGCAAAGCTGTGAGTCACGGACGTTCGCATGCAGGGTGTGAGCTAAGCGCAGCCAGATGAAAGACCTGCATCTTCAGCCAATCAGCTCACGCGTAACAACCGAATGGACTTTAGTAATGTGACATCACTATGGTCAATAAAAAATTGACTATAATTTGCAACGGAGTGCAAGTGACTTTTTGCTTGTTACGTTTGATGAGCGGAGGCATCCGCAGTCACTTTCAGCACCCCCCAACCTTCCATGTGGGTTTGATGCTGTCAGGAGTGCGATGGGGTCCACTATATTCTGACAACCGAATGGACTTCGCATCCTGACACAAGGGTTTATATGCGCAAGCTGATTGGCTGAAGATTAAATTTTTTATCTCGGCATGCTCAGCTACGAAAATGAAATGACACACTGCGCGCAAAAGTCCTTGCACCACCGCTCCGCGCTGCTTTGTGTGCAGTGTGTCGCAGGCTTAATGAAAGCGCAGAGGAGGACCTCTGGGAGAGGAGGGCAGAGTGAGCTGAGCTGCTAATAAAGCTGACTTGAATTTTATTAGTGCTGTACATGGCGAGGAAGAATTCTCTTTGGTGTCTGCAGCTACAGAGGTTTTTGAGGGGTTGTTTTAAACTCCATTTACTGCTTGCAAACATTATACAAGCAGATCTCCAGGTAAAATGAGTTAATTTAAATTATACAGTATTCACCTGATCTTCTGAGTCGGCTGGCTGTGACAGCGCCCACTCCTGCCTGTCTTCCTCTCTACAGTGATGGTATGTCCCTCCAGCGTTCTCACATCCTGTACACTGTGTATAGAATGTGATGACTCATGGACTGCATCGGAGGGGAATTAAGGAGGAGCAAGCCGGCGTAAAGGATCAGGTGAGTATAACTTTTTTTTTTATTTCTGAACCTAGACAAAATGAGCACTCATCTCATTGCAAGGGGTAAGAAAAAGTTCTGCTTTGAGTAGTTGAATGTCCATAGCCTTGCCACAGTTACAGTTTATAATAAGTTAGGCTGTTAGGGGGGATTTTTTTTTTTTTTTACATCAGTTATGAAAATTTGGTTTACTGGCAGACATTTAACGATTGCAACGCTTACATCTATATACCTCCTGTGTACCTGTGTGTTGACTTGTAGCTATGGGTGTGTTGATTCAGCAATAAAAAGTAGTCATGACTTATGACACAAAATTATGTCTTAAAACATGTTTTTATTTTTTTTTACCAGTTTGCCCAGTGACAGATATAAAACAACTGTAGATAAAGGTGCAATACAAAAATAAAGACACTCTACCTTCTCAGACCCAATACTCCATGGGGACCACGGTGCTCAGCATAAATCTCTGCTAGACCCAATCAGCAAAATGAAGTGGAAAAGAGCTGGCACTCGTCGGAGTCCTCTTAATGGCGTTCCTTCATTGAAAAGGCATAAAAGCAGCTACTTTTATGCCTTTTCAAGAAATAAATGCCATTAAGAGGATTCCTACAAGTGCCGGCTCTTTTCCACTTCATTTTGTAGATAATGGTGAATGGCGAATATTACTACAAATGAAATAACTGTGTTCTTTAAAAAAAATGCGGTTTTGTTTTTTTTGTAATGTTATAAGAACAAATCATAACGGAAAACAGATTAAATATGTGTAATAAGACATTTTCCATGTTATTGTAGTAGAAGACCCGTGCTTTAGTATAAGGGCTTGTGTAGATGGGTTTGCGAAAAAAGAACTTTCTTCCATGAACATTTTGAGATCAGTTGCAGATGCTACTGAGATCATGTACAGTTTATTTGCCTACAGATAACATTGTGGCTGCATTTGACCCCCTTCTAAGGTGCATCAACCTGCTTTCAGCTTCTTTTGTGTTCATTTTGACTTTTTTCAGGAATCTTTTGCATCCCTAATGACATGTATGTGGAGACAATCAAGCTCTGAAGCAAATAAAAGTCCTTCGACACAGGCCCTAATAACATGGGAGGTCCACCAGTGTTAGGTAAACAAAGGAACACGGAGGGCGCAACCAGTGTTAGGGCATGTGTTGATGGGCAGATTGGGCAAAGATGCATTTTACTTGCTGCTGTTCAGCCTGCATTTTACCTCCTCTTAAGCTGCATCAACCATCGTCAAGCTGCTTTTGCAATCCTATTGACCTGTGTGTGGAATAAGTAGTTCTGATTCAAACCAAGCTCATTTTACTTGCTGTTGCTTTCCTTCTGGCCTGCATTTGACCTCCTCCTAACCTGCCTCAACCTGTGTCAGGCTACTTTTGCAATCCTATTGACCTGTATGTGGAAAGAAGTACTAATGCAAGCCCAGCTTATTAACACAGGCCTTAAGGCTGCGAGCGTTAGATTCTACTTGCAGATTGGCAGGCCTGGTTAGTAGGGATGCACCGATACCGGTATTGAGTACGTGTACAGATAATTATATCGGTACTCGGCAATACCAAGTACAGATACCGGACTTCCGCTAGCATTGAGCCGCTTTTCCCAGGCAATCAGGAAGCCAGGTGGAGTGTCATTACGACGAGTTATTGCCCGACATCGTGATTAGCCGGCTCCATGTTCCCTCGCGGCACTGCCAATCAGATGAAATCTCTCTGACTGGAAGTTCCGATATCAGGAAAGGTATCGGAGCATTTGGGCGAGTACTCATACTCGCCCAAATACTCTATCTGCACTGATACTAAAATCTGTATCAGTGCATCTCTACTGATTACACTTTCAAAGCTAATCTACTGCTAAGCTATACATATGTTGACACGAACAATTCATTTTTTCATATCCATCCATATATACATTTGCCAGGAGGGTAGATGTTGTATATTTTTGCAGGCGATAAAAAGGATGTAGTAATTCATGAACTCTTAACTCTATAGAGCCATTATTCTATGCTGGTACAATGCACTGTTTATTATCACTTCTGCTATTTTTAATTTCAAGCTTAGAGTTTCCAATGAGCTTTAGATGTCCGACTCTACTAAAGTTATTTACTTGTCAGTCTATCGTGTTATGGTATAGCTTTTGGAAAAAAAACTTATTATTATTATATTTTCTTTTTTTAGTGTATGCAAGCGATGCATTCGAAAAATGGATCACCATTGCCCTTGGGTCAACAACTGCGTGGGAGAAACCAACCAGAAATTTTTTGTCTTGTTTACTGTGAGTATTGGACATCAGAGTGTCAGTGTTGCATGTAGCTCATATGAAATCGTGTGTATACATGTCTATGTGTAACATATATACATGTATGTTCATGTAAACATGACTATGAAAAGTGCTCGTACCAACTTCCAGAAAATAATACGCATCTAAGAAACGGCCATGTGTATGATTCCTATAAGGGCCGGTGCAGACCTGGGCGATCTGGGACGCGCGTCCCGGGACCGCATGGTCATGCACAATTACACAGCGATTGCCGCGGCCCCATTTATTTCAATGGAGTACATCTGCGCGGCAATCGCAGAAAAAAGGTACGTGTTTTTAGCCACGATCGTGTTCGTTTGCATGGACGGGATCCGACTGGGGTGGCATTAGAAAATAATGGCACCGCCAGCGAGATTGTCGGTGGTGGCCGACTTCGTGACCAGGGGGCAATATGCGCGGTATCGTGCATGATTGCCGCGCGGTCACAGATCACCCAGGTGTGAACCTGGCCTCAATTATCCAGCTATTTGGTACAGTATTTCAGCTCGCTGTGTTCTGCCGATATTGGCCGTAGAAGTAGTAGAGCCGGTATAAGCAGCATTCAGGACTGCAGAAATATTTGTGTTGACTGTCCATAACATTCCATCAGCCTTTGAAAAAATAAGAAGCGGAAGCTATATAAAACCATCTTCTTTTTCTGCCCTTCACTTTTACGGTTTACCTTTTAAAACTTTTTTTGATGTATACATTTTCATCTCTAGTTTATTGTGCATTATGGTGGCTTAGTTCTTTTTGTTGTTCAACTGACTGGTATGGGTGGCTTAGCAATAAACAACACAAACAGGTATATTTATAAAGCAGTGAATTGATATTTACCAAACATTCACGGCAGGCTTATCTTCCTGGTGCATGTTTTAAATGACAGTGATTGATTCACCTGCAATAAGGCCTCGTTCACACCAAGCGCGGAGCAAGTGTAGAGCAGTTGCAGACCGGATCAAAACTGCGTCCAATGTATTCCAATGGTATTTTTCGCTCCAGTTCACATCGGAGCGTGCAGTTCCAGAGCAGGTGAAAAAACTGCAGCAATCCCTATTTTACCTGCTCTGGAACGCATGCAAACGCATCAAACGCATGCAAATGCCTGGAAGGCACTGAAAGCCCATGTTAAAATAAATAAATATTTTTTTTACCAACAAAACGCCTGAAACGCGCCAAAACCCACTGCACTGCATGTGCAGAAACCTGAGCGGATCTGCTCTGCATTTGGTGTGAACAAGGCCTAAATGTCTGGTAAATATCACATGTACTGCTTTATAAATATACCACTGTAAACAACAGCAAATAATAGTAAGTGGGGCACATCTGTATGCTGTCCGGTAAAGCTTGTATGATTTTCCTGCTCGGTGACATTTGTTAGATGTTAAAGATTGTATGGCTTTTTTTCCCCCCAGGCATAGGTAATTAGCCCTCGTTCACACCTGAACGTTTTGTAGCGCGTTCTACGCTCGACGAACGCTCTACAAAACGCCCAAAAATATAAATCCCATTGTATTCAATGGTCTCGTTCCCACCTTGGCGTATTTCCGCCCGTCCCTAACGCGCTACAAAACGGCCCACGCCTGAAAAGGTACATGTACTACTTTGGGCCGTTTTGTTGCGCGTTTCCATTGAGATACAGCCAAGTAGCCTAAAAAAACGCGCGACAGACGCGCATATGCAGTACGCCTAGGTGTGAACGAGACCTTACAGTCTATAAAGGGTGATCTTCTGCCCTTCTGCTAGCACATACTGTAGACTGTTGTTTGACTAAAGATACATTTCAGCAAATCCTTCTGCTATTACCAGACATATTCATTCAAGTACATAACTTTTCACCGTGTTCTTAGGGATTCATTAATAACTTGTTATTAAGACATTGTCAAACCTCACTGGGAGTCCCGGAGGAAACAATTGGCTGCATAAAGGGCCCATGTTAATTAGATGCAAATAATTCTCTCTTCAGTTTTTACTGTGTGTGTGTGGTTCTGCCTGTCAGCTGACACCGTGTTTGTTTTATTCAGATGTATATATCGCTGATCTCCATGCACGCCCTAATTATGGTAGGGTTTCATTTCCTGTATTGCTTTGAAGAAGACTGGACAAGTGAGTAAGATGTATACAACTATGCAGAAATGACCCATATCCGAGAGATTTTTATGTTACTTGCCAATAGTTTACCTGTCAATGATTTATTGGTCTTTCTATATAGTCCCCATCATGCTAAGGTGAATTTAAATAGCTCCTTTTTAATCTATAAACTTGTGTGCGTTGTTATTGCTTTGAGAGGCGTGCTGGTAACATCTATCATCTTGGAACCTCCTCCAGATCCCCCGGCTATTTTTTGTTTGCTGGATAAAGTGACACTAAACTCAGGAATTAAATCTTAAAAATGTATTCAAGTGCCTTAACTATTAACAACAATGTATCTTTATTTGTGTATCACTCAGCTGTAGATCCTCAAATCATCTCTGAATTGGTGCTGACACTGTCCTTCCTTCTGGAGGGTGGCTACTTTTGTTCCCCATGGTCCCTGTGTGCGTTGTAATGTAGCCACCGCTCCAAGCTCACTCTCGTAACTACAATGTCAATACAAATGAGTAAACTAAGGCTCCATTCACACACAGCGGTAGCGGTTTCCACGTGGAACGAAACCGCGTAAACGTTAACAGGTGTGGAATGCCATGAAATCACACTTGGACTATTTTGCTGGAAGCACAGTTTCGTACCCCCCGCGGACGCCGCAATAGTCTGAACAATGCACATTGTAATGCATTGTTTTTTCTGTTAAGCGCCTTTTCACGCATATTCGTATGTGCGAATACGCACGGAAAACCACTCCTGTGTGACTGGAGCCTTATTGTAGTCCATCACGGGAGTGAGCTTGGAGGGGTGGCTACTTCACACAACACAGGGATCATTGGGAACAAAAGTAGCCACCCTCCAGAAGGAAGGACGGTACCAGCACCAATTCAGAGATCATTGGAGGATCTACAGAAGAGTGGTGCACAAATAAGATACGTTTTTGTTAATAGTTAGGATTGATTGATTTCATACACTCACTGACCAGCCTAAGGGCTAGTTCACACCAAGCACGTTCCAGGAGCAGAGCAGTTACAGACCGGATCAAAACTGCGTCCAATGTATTCCAATGGTATTTTGGGCTCTAGTTCACACCGCAGCGTTCAGTTCCAGAGCATGTAAAACAACGGCAGCAAGTCCTATTTTACCTGCTCTGGAACGCATGCAAACGCATCAAAAACGCATGCAACCGCACTGGAACACACTGAAAGCCCATTTTAAACTAAAATAAAGAAATAACTTTTTTTTTTTTTTACAAAAATGGACCTGAACGCATCAGAAACGCGGCAAAACACACTGCACTGCGTGTGCAGAAACCCATACAGATCTGGTCTGCATTTGGAGTGAACAAGCCCTAATGGTCTACGACAGAACTTTTTTTATTTTAACCTATGGACAGTATTATTACAGTAGTACAGGGGTGCCCACAATTGTTTGTTTGGTGGTTATTTAAATTTTTTAGGACAAACTCTTGTTTTTATTAGTGATTTCATGTCTAGGAACATTGAATTTACTGATGAAAGCCCCATTAAAGAGAGCGAGAATATTAGGGATGGGCTTTTTCTAAATGTATTGTGATGTATTTTAAGATATTTATAGCAAGAAACTGGGTCTCGGGAATGTCTTCCTGGGACCAGCGTGTATATCTTCTAGTACCCCTGGGGACATTAAAGCTGAACTCCTGGCAGACAGCTAAATATAAAGCTGAAATAAGTTAGTCAGCCAGTCTTAAGTTTCAGGGATTTCTGCCATTCAGTTCTTCAGCTTTGAATAATACAATCTTATCTAGGACCCCCACCATCCTATCCCCGTCCCTTGTAATTGGATAGTTAGAGAGAGAATGGGAGATATTCAGTTTTCTTTGGCCAGGTGTATAAAAAATATATATTGTTTACCTTTTTACTTGGACAAAATCTTTTTCTGGGTGGAGTTCAACACATTAAAAACAGCTCACTTGACCAAACCTGGGCTATAAGAGTCTGATCTTTGAGACTCGCCATTCCCATTATGGCCAAATATCAAGAGTCTGCTCACTCAGTACCCTAATGAACTTGCACTTCATCCAATGATAAAGGAAAAGTTGCCCAATATCTGTGTAGCTGGGTAGATGATGTTTTGTTGCAACACATTTCCCATGCTACTGAATAACTTCCAAATGGGTAACATTCAGAAGGAAATATGAAGCCGTTGCTTTTTATTAGCAGGGAAGTTTAAAACTGTCTAGTTGTGATAACCACCAGCCTGTTTCTGGGCATTTTTAGAAACACAGGAGTTACAAAGGACTGGCATTATCTGTCTAACGGGTTTATATGTAGCAATATTGGAGCTGCGTAGTGTTTTTATCTATTTATTTAAGACACACACTGCGTTTGTCATTGCTCAGCTTTTATGTGGCCACGCAGGACAAACCTGAATTGTTTATGCAGTTAGGTTGTCAGCTTTCAGGTTCGATAAAGGCATAATGAGGCATTACAGTTGTTTTAAGCCAGCTCCTTAATTGTACAACATGAATGGTCCTGTTTTTAAATTTATGCAGATGTGTGAATATACAGGTTGCGTTTAAAGTAGTTGATGTAATTTATTACTGAAACAATTCCTATTAGTGTTACAGCCTAAGTGGAAGAAAAAAACGTGCTGTCAAGTTAGTGTCACGCACAAACACACACACTTGAACCTTAAATTTTTTTCCCCAAGCCCCACTGCCTCACCTGGACAAATTTGTAGGTACCCTTCTACAAAAAAGTTTGTATATCTTCTTTTTTTTTCTCCAGAAATTGACCAAAGTAATTGGCATCCATCATTGTTTATTCCATATTTAAAGAAGAACTATGAGGTGATTGATTTCCACTCATCCTCATAGTTAGAGCCGACCTCAGACAAAGAAGCTGTCACAGGTCGGCTCTATCGATCGGGAAGTGAGCAGAAACATGCAGCTGATCCGCTCACTTCCCGATCGTGTCCCCGCATTGATTGGTGCCTGTCAGTCACCTTTCCCCACAGGGATCCCCCTCTGCCCTCTCCGATCCTCCAGCTCTGAGTGACAGCTGTCACTAGGCAGAACCAGCTGTCACTCAGACAGCTGGGTGGATCTCGACAGTATTGTCAGGATCCTTCCTGGCTGTGACGCTCTCAGTATATCGCGGGCAATAGCTCGTTATATACTGAGCCTAAAGAGAACTATGGGGAAAAACACTTGCATTGTTTTTTTTAATATTACGTGGTTGATGTTTATTAGTTATTTAACAGCTTTAAAATCTCAAAGCTGCACTTTTTGATTCAATACCTCCTTCCTTACCCAGGCTTCTTGTTTGTTTCTACAGAGTGCAGCTCATTTTCACCACCGACCACAGTCATCCTGCTTATTCTACTTTGTTTTGAGGGTCTACTCTTCCTCATATTCACCGCTGTGATGTTTGGGACACAGGTACATTCCATATGTACTGATGAAACGGTGAGTACTTCCTTTTAGCCCATATTTAATGAAACCTTCGATTTATTTCCCTGAAGACTGTTTAGTAGGTATTGCACCATCTGGGGGTTGAGGCCTGTTAATACATGGATTGTTTTTTTCCCCAGTTTGCTAAATATCTTCCCATTGTAGCATCGGTAATCATTTTTCAAAGTTACTATTGTTATTGGGTATGGTTTGTATATGTTACATGGTACTCTGTTACATGATATATTTCCTATCATAAAACATTTAAGAACTCAAGGAAACCGAATTGCAGTGGATATACAAAAGTCTACACGCCCCTGTAAAAATGCCAGCGTTCTGAAATGTAAAAAAAAAAAAGAAGATAAATCACTTCAGATTTATTTCTGCCTTTAATGTGACCTATAATGTGTGCGATTCAATTAAAAACTAACTGACATTTTAAAAATGGGAAAAAAAACTTCCAATAATGTGGTTGCATAAATATACACTCCCTTAAACTAATACTTTGTTGAAGCACCTTTTGATTTTATGACCGCATTCAGTCTTTTGGGGTAGGAGTCTGTCAGCATAGCACATCTTGTCTTTGGAATCTTTGCCCACTCTTGCTTGCTGAAGCGCTCCAAATCTGTCAGAATTCGAGGACATCTGCACCCCGCCCTCTTCAGGTCACCCCTCAGATTTTCAATTGGAAACGGGTCCGGGTTCCAAAACTTTGATCTTCTACTGGTGAAGCCATTCTTTTGTTAATTTGGAGGTATGCTGTGGGTCGTTCTCATGCTGAAAGGTGAAATTCCTCTTCATCATTAGCTTTTTAGCAGAGGCCTGGAGGTTTGTGGCCAAATTGATCGATATTTGGAACCGTTCATGAGTCCCTCCACCATGACTAAAGCCCCATTTCCAGGTGAAGAAAAACAGCCCCAAAGCATAATGATGCCACCACCATGCTTCACTGTGGGTCTGGTGTTCTTTTGGTGATGCACAGTGTTGCTTTTGCGCCAAACATACTTTTTGGAATTATGGCCAAGTTTAATCTTGGTCTCATCAAAACATAACACATTTTCCCACATGCGTTTGTCAGACTTGATGTAGGTTTTGCAAAATGTAGCTGGGCTTGGATGGTTTCTTTTTAAAGTAAGAAAAGGCTTCCGTCTTGCCACCCTATCCCACAGCCCAGACATATGAAGAATACGGGAGATTCTAGTCACATGTAGTACACAACCAGCACGTGCCAGAAATTCCTGCAGCTCCTTTAATGTTGAGGTAGGACTCTTGGCAGCCTCCTTGACTGTTTTATTCTGTTTTTTTGCCAGTTTTCTTTGTGTGTTTTTTCATCAACTTTGGAGGAACATCCAGTTCTTGGTAATATCTGTAAAAAAATAAGTCAGGGCAACTGGACTTGCTGTATTTTTCTTGAAGACGTTACAGCAAGTTACAGAAAAATACAGCAAGTCCAGTTGCCTTGACTTATTTTTTACAGATATACCATGACCTGGATGAATGAGAACCTTCACGGACAGTTCTTGGTAATGTCACTGTTGTGCCATATTTTCTCCTCTTGTTGATGACCATCTTCACTGAGTTCCATGTTATATCCAATGTCTTGGAAATTGTTTTGTACCATTCTCCTGACTGATACCTTCTAACAATGAGATCCCTTTGATGCTTTGTAAGCTCTTTATAGACCGTGACTTTTGCTGTAAGAGGCAACTGAGCAAATGTAAAAGGAAAATCCCACCAGATTAGCTGAACTTTATATATGAGCTTAATCAGAGTCACTTTAATTCATGGCAGGGGTGTACTGACTACTGTTTACCCTCCGTGTGAATATGGTTGGTTAATTCTGAACACAACCACATCCCTAAGTATAAGAGGGTGTGTACACTTATGCAGCCACACAATTGTATTTTTTTTTCCCACTAAACAATTTCAGTTTAAAAAAAAAAATAATAATAATTGTACAAACTATATGTCACATTAAAGGTGGGGGGAAAAAAAATTCTAAGTTATTTTCCACTTTCTCCACATACTGTTCATTTCCCTTTTATACTCCTTTTTTCTTTTTGGTAACATCATATAAAATTATGTATTTGAGTATCACTTCTATGGACAGAGCAGTGTAGCCTAATACTAAAGGCTTTTTTGCCCCTATCTGATGGGCTATAGAACTGTTAACTTGAGAATGTTGGTAACATCATGTAGCCGCTTCTTTTTGAAATTTTTTTGTATTTTAATGTATTCCAATTTTGTTCCTTTTTGTTTTATTTCATTTCCATAAAAAAACTTTTATCTTTGCAAATGCAGATTTTTCACAAACTTAACGGCTCACTAAGAAGAGGGGTCACAGTGCTGTAAAAAGAAGAGCTATTTATTCCTGTTCTAGTGTGAACGCATTTAGTAGATATGTTGCTCTACTTTACTACTGTGCTGAGCTGTGAATGTCAGCCAATTCAGCAGGAATTGGCTGAAATTCACTGCGTTGGTGAACCTATTCCCTCTGCAGAAGTTGATAATTAAATCGACTTCTGCCAAAGGAGCATGTTGCACAATTTTCGGTCAAGTGGTACTTGCGGCCAAACGGCTGCAAGCACGGCTCAAGTACTCTGACAGTGGCCAGTAGCTGCTGTCAGAATACAGTAGAAACAATGGGCAATTCGTCCATCCACACTGTTCAGCATGGGTGGAGGAATCTGATCAATCATCAGAGTGAACTAAGAAAATATATCCGTATTTACCCTTCTTTATTTTGCTGGAGAGGAGTTTTATTGTTTGCTTGATAGGGGGTACAAGTATATTTCCAGAACATTTATGGGGATTTATCCTCATTTAAAATCAGTTACCTCTTCTTGAACTTTGTTAGTAGCATAAGGCTGTTAGTAGTTAGAACTAAAAACCAGAGGCTGTGACTGGGCAAAGCTTCCCCTTCACAGTGGGACAAGGCAAGGGTGCCATTTGTCACCACTGTTATTTGCTTCGGTCATAGAATGCCTCCTCCATTATTTACACAATGCCTTCATATACATGGAATACAAATTAGATCTAAGAGACACAAACTTTCAGCATACTTGGATGACATTTACATTGCAAACCCTGTGATATCACTACCTCATCTTATGGATGAACTGATGTGTTTTGGTCAGTTATCTGATTTTAAAATTAATTTGAATAAATTGGAAATTCTCTCAAACTATCCCACCAGACATAATGATGCAGCTCAGACTTACCTACCTTATCATGTGGAAAGACCACACACTACCCTATTTAGGTTCTCACATTTCCCCAGATGTTAAACTTTTATGTTCTATAAATTTTGTGGTCTGTTATCCACTCTTAAAAAAGATTTCCAAACGTAATAGAAAACGTTTTACTTGGTTAGGCAGAATCATTGTGATCAAGGATAGAAAACCTTGAAAAGGTTAAACAGTTCTCCAGAAAGCCAAAATCAGATCTACATCTATATTATAAATCCAAGGCCTTAGTCTGAATACTTAATTGGCACTATACTACCAAAGATAAGCTCTGGGTTGCGCTAGAAAAATTCATGGCAGGCCTGAATCTGGTCAGTGCTTCATCCTGACCACAGAGGCCTTCCCACTGGGGCATCTCCTCGATTACTACCTTAAAAATTTGTGAAAAGCTAAACCATGGAGGTGCCCTGCCCCCCACGTTCCTTATCTCCCCTTTAGGAGGTTTACCATGGTTTGCACAAGGTGAGAACGTGTGTGCGTGTGTGTGTTGGGGACTAATTGGGAATACCAATCTCTATAAGTTTGCCCAGCATGATATGTTCTTACCCCTCAATACTCTACCTCAACATATTGGACAATTCCCTTTGGGCATGTGGAGACGCAACCAACTAATGAACGTCTTTCGGAGGTCACTACTGTTGTAAGTTATGATTGAAGTATGTCTGCAAGATATATTTGGTGTGTATTAGGGATGCACAGATACTTTTCGAGTACCAGTGCAGATACTTGGCATTTTCATGAGAACTTTCCAGGGTTGCAGAGGTTGCAGCTGGGGCCTGGCTCTGGCGCTCCACCACTGTCCTTAAATCATTAGTCTGTATTGTTTTAGAAAAACTGTCACATGACAATAAACAAAACTGTATCAGTACTTGTAAGTACTCGGCAAGTACCAGTACTCGTACTTGCAAAACTGGTATCTGTGCATCCCTTTATTTATAAAAACAAAATCGTACATTAAAACAGAGATGTACAAATCCCAGGAGCTCCGTGTGCTCCTTACAAATGACAGCTGCCTCCTAACTTTTGCATTTCTCTCTAGTCTAGTCTTGGAGCTCAAAAGTATCGGTACATGTACTCGTACTTGTACCGAGTACTGTACTTGGTATCTCTGCAGCCCTAGTGTATGCCTATGTGTTGCAGGTAACACACTTCAACACATAAAGCTGTTGTTGACTGTACACAATAAACAGCTGTAGAGTATTTTTGCCAAAAGAAACCTGTTTAGTTAACTAGATAGAGGAACAACAAAGGAATCATCAGAGCAGCCAATCAGAAATCTTTTCAGTGTTAGTAAATGACAGTCAACTGTGAATGAAGTCAAAGATTAACAGAGTCTTGGGGATTCAGAGAATAATCATGAAGTGGGTCATGAAGAGGCGTAGAGACACATGGGTGTATATATAGATTAGGTGTATATGCTTGGTGTATGGTGTGTCTGTATCTTTGCTAGGGTCTTTGCCATCATCCTCATTACCATCATCAAGAAGATGGAGGTCTAGAGATAAATAGAAAGGCAGTCACAGGGTTTTTATTTGTATTATTTTCGCTATATACTCGGACTGTTTCTGGGATCCAATAAACGCTACACTCTGTGCAAAAGAACCAAGGTTGCCTACATATTTTCTGAAGATGGCATTCTACATATTCCTTTTCCCAATGCACATAAATATATACATTTATAACTACAACTACCCACACTCAGGCCCCTAGATATAAAAATATTCTCACCTCATAGATATACAAATATATCCTGAGTACCAAACCTCCTTT